CAATAAAACTTTGTTAACAGTTCTTCAAAGAGCATAGAACTTTATTAGTAGATAAAACACATAATCTGATATTATTGTCAAATAATTTCATAAAGCACATTAATAAGGAAATAGGATTAACATCTATGATTAAAGGATAAAAGGACATGGTTTTATTCTAGCTACATTAGTTTCACAGTCACTTAAGGGTCTATTCAAAGAGTTCTAAGTTTAAAAAAAAACAACTCTATGAACTCATTGAGGTTTACCTCCTGTCTTCCGCAGAGCAAATGATTAGCAGACTGCTCTGTGAACTTTTACAAAGAAGCCTTTTCTCTCCAGTTTCTATCCCTCTGAAAGATAGATTCTTCCTCCATCCTAAATAACTCAACATTTCAAGTTTCTGACAATAATGAATTCTTAGCATGAACAATTCCTTTTAAATCTGTCCCTCTATTAATTTATTAAATAACTCATCTTATTTCAAATATCTGATAAAAATGAATTCTTAGCATAAATAAACCCTTTTAAATCTCTTCCTCTCAACTCTATTGAGTAGTTAATAAAACATCTTGATTTATACTTTATAGTATTACTTAAAAATTCAAACCAGCCATGCCAAATAAAAACAATACGTAAAGTATGATTATGAGATTTTCTTTTCCATGATACAGGATCAATTAGTAACGATATTCATGAATACAGTCTGGTAACAATAGTCAAACACCCTAATAATAAGCAATCAAAACATTGAGAAAAATTTAATCCTTTTCCTAATGAGGCAACTCTGGAATCAGTTCAGACCTAAGCTTAGTGGGAACTATAATTTTGAAAAGGATGAACTTCCTGACACAGACCCATACAGTTTTTTATACTAACATCCTCTAGTTGGTTTTGCTGTATAATTTACAAAACACATACAAAAAATTCATATCTACAATCTCAAATCATTCTCAGGATAACATGTGAGGTGGGGCATTTTCTAAAGGCCTATTCTAGGCACCTGGCTGACACTGGGATGGTTTTAAAAAATGAACAAGAATGAATTGTACCTTAGAAGAGCTCACAGTCTAATGGAAGAAATAAACAAATAATTTCTATAAAATATGCTATGATAAAGAATGGACAAGGAATTATGATTCTCCAGCAACAGAAATGCCTAACACCCTCTGGCCAGAGACGGGGATGGATGGAGGTGCCCCAAAGAAAGCTTTGGGCAGATCACACAGAGCACAATTTTGAAGGATGAGTAAGACATAAATATAACATAAATATGGGGTGGGGAGGGGAAGAAAGACAATCCCAGGCAGATGGAACATGTGCACGATGGCTAGTGATGACGCATTCCTATTTTTAAAAATTATTCCTATTTTTAAGATAAGGAAGATAAGCTAAGGTAAGTAGGCTGCCTTAAGTCACATGAATATTAATTAATAATGTATGAAGCAGAATACAGGTCTTCTAATTTTAATCAGCTTTGTACACCAGGAAATGCCAGGACATGTTGGATAAGAAAATCCGATATAGATTAGTTTTTATCTCATACTCTACTCTTTCCTAAGAGATGGTCCATGTTTCACCTAGCTCCTATGGTTTAGAGGGAAAGAGTGGGGAGAAAGGTTTATTTAATCCTCATAGAAATCCTGTGAGATAGGTGTTTTTTACTATATCCATTTAACATATGAGAATATGGAAGCACAAACCAGTTAACAAAAGTTGGAAATTAGGTGAAGATTCAAACCCAGGTCTGAAAGACACTAGGCCTCTAAGTTTAAGCACTTTACTATACCCCAAATAGCCCTAGGTCTTGGTCTCAAGATAACAGTGAGACCAAGTGAGCTGTAGAACAAACATGGTCCCACAGATTTCATGCTGTACCACACATTTAAAAATTCACACAAATTTTCACATTTGGCTCTCTTATTAGTCTGGTATACTCTGAATGATAAGCCTATGCATAAGGTCGCATGGGTGCTTTGAACAACATTTTCACAATGTGATTTAACTGGGTGAGAGCAAACTTTAAAAAAAAGTAGTAGCTAAAAAGGAGGAGATCACAAAATAATAGCATAAACTCTGAAGATATACAAAGAAGAAAGCCTCAATCCCTTTTTTTGCTCGAGTGTGAGGTTTTTATGGGAGGGGGGAGAAGTATGCAAATATGCTTCAGGTGTGCTAGCATACCTGCTACTCACTGCACAGGAATTCAGACCCAAGAATGAAGTGTGGAGTACATCCCTAATTTCCTTTATCAAAGGTTCATATGACAACACTAGGATACTTAAGGAAGCAGACCATTAGGGACTGCTGTGGTTTCCTAGGGCACTGAAATGATCTCAGAGAACTGGGGATCAGTCTATAAGACAAATATTGTCTTATTTGAATTTGCTAATGTCAGTTGATTGTTTAAAACTGGCCACAAAAATGGTTTTTCAATCTGTCAATCTAATATTTCACTTTGTTATGTATATGGAAAAACGAATACATACAAGAATGGAATCCCTGGACTATTAGCCTAGAACTTTAAAGATCTATAAATAAATTCATCCTCACTTTTCACTGAGATGATTCGGAGTTGAAAGGTCCTACCCAAATCCAGAAATAAGAACATTTCCTTTCAGCCTCACTTTCAGACCTACAGATCTCTAACTCTTCAGATCAAAGGATCCCAATCAGTTAGTTTGGAATCTGCCAGCACATCTCCAGGCTAGTGTACACTGTCAGGCTTTCTTCCAAGGTTTTCCAGTGTGGCGAAGAGGAAAGCTGACGTGGTTACCCTCTCCTTCAAGATGCTTAATATCTTCATTGTCAGAACCACCATAAACCCATTCTGTAACTTCAGCACCTGCTAATAACACTTCCAACCTCTCAGCCCCCACCCTACAAAACCCACATGTCAGTTTCAGGGAAACAGAAAACAGCATCTCTTCACAAGATTCTCAATGCCAACCATCTCTGGATGATACCAGTTAAAATGAGGGTAAAGAAACAGGGGAGGGGCCTTCTGTATATAATATACTAATACATTTTTTTCTATAAAGCAGACACTCCATGACCTGAGCTATAATCTGAGCAATTTAAAAAGCAGAAAACTGAGGATAACAGAGAGCAATAATATTACCAGCAACTGGATGATCAATCTCCAAGTCTGGGTGATGAGGTTACTGTAAACCATGGAAATAGAGTTGTTTTTTTAAATTTGTATACTCAAGTTTCACTTACAGTGATGCTCTCTTACAAAATTGTTCTTAGTGGTCTTTGCCACGGATCAGTTGAAAGTGCAGGACAACAAAGTCCTTCTGGAAACGGCCCAACCCTAACCCTCAATTCCAAGACATGGGTATATATGCAGTTCCATGGTACAACCTGTAGTTATGTACCTAACATCAAGTGACACTAAAATGTAAAGTGGTAAAAATATGGAAAATCAGCTTAAGGGGGGAACTTTGACCCACTGACAGTTTCCCCAAACATTAAATTAGATATATGCAAATATTAAAGATAAGATTTAATCTGAATTCTTAAAAGATTTTAAATCCTACAAGGTAACTTTAATGTTAGGAACTAAGATACAGACAACTAAGATCTATATCTCTGGTGTCATTTTCAGGTTTTAAGAACTGTAATCTCTTAAGGATCCCAGGACTACTTCAGGGAATAAAAAGGTGAGAAAATTTAACATGTTTGCTTTTGAGGTTTAAATAAAACCCCAAACACTTGAAAGGAGAAACAACCTGAAAAGAGGAAAGTGGGAGAATCTGAGCTCAATTGAATATCACTATTCCAGGAGAGGAAAATTTTACATCCTGCCCAAGAAAGAGCATTAGGTTAGCCATTTACTGCAATTTGGTTTTCTTCAAAGTGAAAAGTACCCTTCATAACTAAGGGTTATTTACATAAAACATGAAGCGTGTTTCCAACCTAAGAAAACTGAAAAAAGAAAATAATTCTAATTTTCCACGAATGCAAAAATGAGATTTATCGATATATCTTACAAATAGGGACAAAAAGGCAATTCGTCTGAATAAACTACTGTGGAAAAAAAAAGTCAATCTGACACTAAAGGGTCATTTTTTAAAAATAAAATGTCCAAATGACTGTACTCAAATGATCTATAGCAAGACTGAGCAAAATTTTGCATTTAGTCAACTGGTATGCCTCGCTCACAAAAGTAACAATTAAATGCTTGAGAAGGAAAGGAATTAAGTGGGTTAAGTGCGGATTGGATGACTGTGTTTTGAGACCTGTTCACAGGAAGCCACTACATCCTGCCTGAAGTCCCTGTCAGTCACGCCGTCTCTCTCAATTCAAGTCCCCGCCGCAGCGAGGTGGGGCCGGCACAGGTGTCCGGCCCGAGCCCCTCCCGGCGCGCTCACTGGCGAACACCCCGTGCGGCAGCCACTCGGGTCCCAGGGCGGCCTGTTTCCTCCAACTCAGGGCGCCTTTTTCAACCTCTCACAGGCTCTGGAGCCCAGGAAACAGGCGGCCCCCTCCCCTCGGGCCAGTCCCTCTTCCCTGCCCTCCTCCACCTCCTCCTCCACCTCCTCCTCCTCCGGCCGCGCCTCCTTGTAATTACCGCTCGGCTCCCACCTCGGGGCCGCTCCCCGGCGCCCGCAGCCGCCCAGAGGCCTGCGTCTGAGGGCGGCCGGAAACTCCTCACGCCCCCGGCCCACGCCCCCGGCCGCGCCCCGGGCTCCGGCGTCCCCACGTCCAGGCCGCGCCCCACTGCCGAGCCCCCTACGCCGGCTCAGCTCCAGCCCCCCGGGCAAATCCCCCGCTCTCCACTCCCGCCAGAGAGAAGCAGCCCCAGCCCACGCCGCCCCATCGAGGCGACGCCTCCCCCAACACACCCCCTCCCAGCCTCGCCCGTGCCCCGCGCTGGCGTCCGGCCCAGGCCCCAGCCCAGGCCCCCTCTCCGCCCCGCGATCCCAGCGCGTCTCGGTGCCGCCGCCCCCGCGCGCCCGCTGCTCCCTCAGCCCTGCGGCCGTCGCCGCCGGGGTGTCCCCTCGGCCTCCGCTTACAGATCTTGCCCCGCAGGCTCTGCAGCACTCGGACCTCGCGACTGTCCTCGTCCCCGGCCTCGGGCTCTGCCGTCGCACTCGCCGCCGACGCCTCAGAAGAAGCCCTCGCAGCAGCAGGCGCCGCCGCCGCCATGGTGCCGCCCGGCCCGTGCCGCAGCCCCGCCGCCTGCGTAGCCGGCCGAGGCGGAGCCCAGCGGCGGCCTAGGCCGGGGCTAGCCGCGCGCCTGGCCCCGCCCCCGGGCCTCGGCCTGACTCGCCCCGCCCCGCCGCGCGCGGCTCCGCCCCCGCCCCACCCGGGTCTCCGCGCCCGCCTCCCAGCGACTCGGACTACCCGGGAAGAAGCGAGCCCCAGGCTTGTGGCGCGGGCCAAGTGTGGCTCCTCGTCGTGGCTGTGAGCAGCCTTGAAACCCCCACAGAGGAAGTCCCGGCCGGCGGGCGATTTCTAAATCCTCCTGGGAATTGGGCTTCCCCCATGAACAGACCTCCACATCTCCTAACGCTTGGGAAAAATATAGGCCCTTCCCAATCAGGGGAAGTCCGTGTGGAAAGACAACAGAGTGGAATTGGGCAGATGGCTGGACCTCAGATCTATCGTATTCAGAAGGAGCCGAGAGACGCATTAGCGACTCCCCCAGTAGTACCCACAAGTCCCCCACCGCCAAGCCGATCGCCTCACACACAAAGCTTTACTCTTACGACCTCTGCTCTGCCAAAGCCGGTTCACGAAAAGGGCCGCAGACCCCGGTTCTGCCATGAGTGCGGCGCCCGCGACCCTCCCACAGAGAAAGTCTGAAGCGTCTACCGCCACTTGTGTATTTCGGAAACAGAAGGAGCAAAGAAGTGTCCCCACACACACACTACAAGTGGGCTTGTTGAAAAGTTGATTGAAATTTGTAAATCTTGTAAACCTTGTAAATCTTGTTAGCTTTATTTCAAGGGAACTCTTTACGGTGAGTAAACTGTATGAATAATACCCTGCCTGGTATGTGATGAGGAAGATGATTTCCTGGTCTTGAGGTTGTTAACTGCGCTGCCCTAAGAAGGAAGAAACTGTGACTTAATAGGACAGGGTGGTTCTTTTCCAGGGAAACAACAGAAATCAGTCGACAGACACTTTTTAAGGGTGAGACATAGTGATAACCTCAGAGGCTACTCAGAGGTCAAGGTGAAGAGAACCCCAGCCCTCCAGTAGCTCAGTCTGGAGGGAGACACAGAAAAGGGCAGAGACACTGGGAGACAAGAAGTAGGATGGAGGCACTGGGGAGTCAGGAGAGCCTTCCTAGAAAACCACCTGCTGGGGTGAACCGAAGACAAGCAGGGAGAGGCAGAAGTGAGCCAAGAAGTCGAAACAGCTAGTGCAAACGCTGGGCAGCCAGAGAGAATGGCCAGAGTTTGGCATATGTCTTGGTGCTGAGGAGCAAAGCTTGCTGTTCTACCTGTGTTGTGTGTGACTGCTTTTCCCTCAATGTGATCTTGACTTACCTCTTCTTATATGGTTGTTTTCCTGTCATTTCAAACAAGTCCAAAACTTAATTTCCTATCTTCCTTTCCAAATCTGAGTTCATACCCATATACTGTTATTCAGACTAGACATTTTTTCTTATCCCTTGTCCGCATACTGTGTTCCATTGCCACATCCTTGTGATTCTGCTAAAATCTTTCTTTCTCCCTTCTTTTCCTTCCCCTGTCATTGCCCTTTTTAAAATTATCTTCATTTGAAAAGTATCAATGTGTTATACTTTGGATTTTGCTTTATTTTTAAAGGCATGCCCTTTTACATGTGTGACATTTGGGTAAGTTATTCAACCTTTCTGAACATGTTTCTTTAACAGTAAAATGAGCCTGCTATACTTACTCTTCTTTCTTCAAAGGGTTGTTATTAGGATTAAATAATTATTGAGAGCATGTGTGTGAAGTGTCTAGCAGAATGCTGAGCACATAGTAGGATTAACTCAGGAAACGTGACCTCATGCTCTTGACTGGAACTCTTGTAATAGGTATTCCATCCCTGTCATTCCTTTTACACAGCACTCATATTAATCTTCCTAAAGCAAAATTTGGAGTTTGTCAGTTGCCTGCTCAAAAAAAAAAAAAAAAAAAAAATCCCACATCAATGGCTTCATTCATCCCTTTGGCCAGCAAGTAAGTGTACGCTACTGGTCATGAACAGTGCTAGAAATAACTAAAGAATAAAGTTCAAATTCTTTAGACAAATGTGCAAGGTTCGGCCTAGACCCAACCTAGCTGACTGTTCTTATCTCCAGCCACACTGAGGCACTTTTCTCAACATCCAGACTCTGTTAAGAGTGGCCTTCCTCCAGTCTGGCCAAGTGCTTCGTCCATCTATCTTTCTATCATAGACAGAGGTTCTTATTTCTATAGTACATGGTATTACATGAGCCTGTGTGCTTGTTTCATCTCTTCTCCTAGCTTCACTTTTTAAACTCCCTCAAGAAATATCTATTGAATGAATTGGTGGAATCCTATTAGCTCACTTTTTCTACTCTGAAGACTGGAGTTTTTCTTTTGTTAAAATCCTGATTTGTATTTATTATTCATTATCCTACCTGTCTAAATGCTTAAAATAAAAATGGAAAACTTTAATAACAACTTATAATTTGAAATTAAAAGCTAGTTTTTAAAGGTTTGTTCCTTTCTTTAAAATATCAATACCTATACCAGATTCTTCTGATTTCCCTTCTTTTTTACTAGCCGAACTCCAAGTACATAACTCTGTTATGAAATTGTCATTAAAGGTATGAAAACAATTTTACATGAAGTTGCACTCCACTTTTTATTTTTTTCTCCCAGGCAGTCTTCCTGTTGCAGATTTCGGACTCAAACTGTTTCACTAAAATCCAAAATTCCATTTCTTCTTCATCTGAAGTCACTTCTAATTAGTCTATTTCTGAACAAACATTTAAGGACATTATTATTATTATTTTTTTTTTACTGATACTGGCCTACTTTGAAGAGCTCTTTAGTAGGGTTAATGTTTCCTTAATATAAAATACTTGGGAAATAAATTTTTTAAAAGATTAATAAAATTTACTCATAGTACAATTATAAGAAGGCTGTTCCATCTCATCCCCTTTATTGCCCTTGCATTGTGTTTTAAATTCGTCTAGAGTTCCTCTCATTTCTTCATGATGTTTAGTAACTGGAACAATATTGCATCATACACAGACTTGCACTTTACTTCCTTCCTCAAATTATTAATGAATGTATTTAAAGGCCGTCACTCCTATCTCTAACCCTCTCCATTCTGGTGAGCAACCATTCACTACTATGTCTTTTCCTGTTGCTTCACCAGTTTTTAACCCATTCAGTCATTTTAACCCATACACTGGCTTGCTTCCTAATGGCTGATGTAGGAAAACTACATTGTTTCTTAATAAGAAAAATATGTGCTGCTACTAGAAACTAATTTGAGAATTTGTCATCTTTTTGAATCAGCACATAACAACCGTGGCATCATCAGGGCTATCTTCTGGCCCTGAGTTATTTATTGCCTTCTTTCTGGTGAGTCGGGTAAGAGAAATGTGCTTGATTTTTAATATTTAAATGTAGATCATTTTCATAGTGCTATACACTCATGAGAAAGAACTATTTCTAGTGGACTAGTGGAGCAGCAAGTTCCTTTGGTAGTTGATGACTTGATTTCCCCATCTATCTCATCGGAGTGCTATTTGTATATTAAACACTATGCACTCAGTTACTTTTTATAAACAACCTCTAAATCCAATCAGCACTTTTCTTTTTGATAATGTTGGAGTGGTGGAAAATGAGGCAAGCCCTTAAATATTAATAAAACTTACATTTTCTTTAATGTTTTAACTCAAGATCAAACAAGGTCATGACAAGGATGTGTCCAAAATATGTGGACAAATTTTTATCCTAAAGCCTCTAGCTTCTCCATTGAAAATATATTCAAATTTGCTTAGTTTCTAGAAGAGGACTTTAAAGGCCTGAATGTTGGAGCATGGAACAGTTGATACCCTTAGGCCAGTGTGATTTCAGTTCTCAGTCCCCCTCCTTTTGAACTGTGATGACATATCCCCCCAGTGTACTCTACTTGTCATTTTAGACTAGTGAAACAATGGATGTGAAAAAACCGGAAAAGTTGGGTAACTGTGTACTTGTTTCATCTTCTACTCTGCACTCATGAAATATCTCTGTCAGGGCAGATAGAGCTGTCCATTCACCATAACCTTGGAGACATGCTCCATTCAGTTGGTGAGAGCCAGGCCAGTGGACCACAGGCCATGCCCCAGCTGATTTCCATGCTCTTAGACATAGCTAAGGTCTCCTGAGGCCAAGAAGCTTGTTACTCAACCTGACTGGCAAATACACTTAAGTTTGCACCTCTGGCAGTCAGGGAAGGAGTGTGGATCTGGACACCCACCTGGCTGTGCTCACAGCAGGTTGGAGATCGGTGTCACCTCCTAGACCATTCTCCAGTGCTCTAGGAGAATAATGGAGTAGAGAATGTGTGGATGATGCCCTGGAATTCTTTCTAACTCTCAGGAAAGGGGAGACCTGAGTGGAGCTAGAAGGGAGCTGGCTACAGAGCTGGCCCAAAACCCCCTCTTGCAGCAAAACTCAGGATAGAAGAAAACATCAATGAGGACTGAGACTCAAGAATGCATGCCCAAGGGGAGCTTTTCTGAAGAGTATCTCTACCCTCTGGCAAAACACAGGAACAAATGGTGCCATGTATTGAGTGCTCACTCAGTGCTAGACTCTTCATGCGGACCTATACAGGTTGAGATTGTTGTTGTTTGTTATTCACATTTCACAGATGATGTCTCTGAGCACAGAAAATTTAAAGAACTTGTGTAGGTCAGACAGATAGTAAATAAAGTATCTGACATTTGAACAATTACAGTGCACATTGCTAATGACTCCACTTTATTGCCATCTTAGGAAAATCTGTCCCCCAGTGGGCAGTTTTCCCAGTGGTGAGGGTTTGGGAGAACCTACTTCTGGGAGGCAATCACTCCTCATGGTTACAGCAAGGTCTGAGCAACCTCCATGGTATTTTTGAGGTGAAAAAGATGGTTGGGGTTTAGCCCGACAACAACAGAAAGCTGGCTGCAAAAGAGAGACATAGGAGAACCTCATTTGAGCAGAGAAAGGCACAGGCTGCCCTGGAGACCAAGAAGGACTCCA